ACCACATAAATGGGCTAACAACATAACCATCCAAACCCAAACTTGGGCCATCCAAAAGTATATGTCGTTTTCGAGTTGAGCCAAGTATATGATGTAGATAAATTTTCGACAACTGTTTTACATCATCACCCAAATTTATTGGGTATCAAAACCCAACAAATCTCCACCCTTGATTCCCAATAAATCTGCAAGCAAACAAAACACAAACTTTATACTTGCATAATCAAGGTAACCAATAAAATTGGTATCGCAGACCTTACCTCGTGTTTCGAACCTGAAACACATACCATACATGCTCCATATACTCACCATGGCTAAAATCATTGACACTTAAGTAGAAGCAGATAATCACAGCAATCAATCAAGAGCAAATAAACATGCGATGGAGATATCATATATAGGATAATACATAGATCTTTTCAAAACATGTTCACCAAGTTAATCAACACACGGTCAACACATATGTAACAAATGCACAAATGACCTCACGAAAAGATCTCACCACACTTATCATATCCCATTACGTGTTGCTCGCACCTCGATAACACATATCTCGTCTCATCGCCTACCATGCTCACTATACTAATCACTCAAAAAAAAATGTCTAACTGGTAAGCTTCTATAGATCTTAAGTTCTTGAGATAATCGTCTATCACCACATCAATTCTCCCAACCTACGTGGCTAATGGGTCTCTACTTAACAGAAGTGATAGAAGTGTATCTCTCGCACTCCACTTAATCAGGGTCTCTTCAAAGATAAAGGATTTCAACATTTAATCACCTCTCCACTCGTGATCCAAATGTCACAATCCACATCCCCGGTACAAGCCACCAATGTACTCGTATCTATACTCCACCTTACCAAAAGACATACACACTGCTAATGCATCACAAACCCATTATGACAAATCAACACCTTTTGGCGACCACAAAGGTTAGGGCTCAATTTAAATTGACTCACGCACCACAAAATTACTCAATTACCAATGCTCTTACAAATCCACAGAATTTATCCCACAAAGGAAAATGTGAAGGTAGCACTCACAAAGAGAATATAAGAAACAGTTGATTATTTTACTGCACTCACAAAAGATGTTCACAAAGAGAAAAAACATAACATTCACGTGGCTACCCGTACGCCATAGATATCAACCAACTATACATGCAAACACATTACACAAAGTAATAAGATCACTTTAATTCATGTCATTACACACATCAAACATATTGAAAATGTAATATATCACCATGCAACAGAATTAAGTGGTCACACATGCAGAAAA